CAGTCAAAAGTGCTCTTACTGCTCTTACAGAGAACCCAGGTTCAGTCCCCAGCACCAACATGGTGGCTCACAACCATCTGTAGCTCCAGTTCTAGGGGATCCAGCAATCTTTTATGGTCTCCACAGGCTCCTGCATACATACATACGGCACACAAAAACTCATACAAGCACACATGCATACACATAGATAAATCTTTTTAAAAATAAATTTTAAAAAGATGAAGTGTGATTTGTTGTCTGATTTCTGTGAGGATTATCAGCATTACAATACCAGGCAGCTTCACCCAGTGCTCCGGGGCTCTGCACCAGCCACAGACTTGCACAGACCTTTCTCTGTCTGTCGGCCACACAGGGGTAAAGTTTCTGTATGGACTGCACACTGAACAGCACACATACTATTATACGCCATTTAGTAGTTTATATGTTGACACACTAATACAGTTCCACTGTGAACTGTGAGGGAGTTATTATTCTACCAATTTATGGTGACAAAGACTCTCCAATAAAAGCAATTAAACAAACACTCAAGGTAAGGTCTTCTTTGATTCATACACAGCAGCATTTCTCAAAGTTGAATAATAGGTTTATCTCTTTAAGGGCAAAAGATTGTCACAGGTACCCTTCATAGGAGAAAGTCTGAATACTTTTATTATGCTTACTACTAAACTCACATATAATTCACACTTATTTTTATTATTATAAGAATTTTTAAATATGCATAGACATAACTTTCAATAAGCCTGTTTACCTTACAGATTCACAACCAAAGCTGTACATTCAACACAAGTAAAGCTGTAAAATTAATTATTTTTGTAATGACAAAGTTAATGTGTTAACATTGCTTTAATAAAGCTGTGTCTCCACACAGTGGAGTTCGCTGCTGCTGTTGGTGTCTGGGGACTCAGCAAAGCAAAGACAATCTTCCCTCCGTTCATGCTGTATCCACTACTGTTGAATCCTTCACGGTTCCACTCACCTGGAACCGACGAATCATTTATGAAGGAAGCTTTTGTCCTTTGTAGTTCATAATATAACAGGTTGTTATATCAAAGATATAACAAAACAAACATAGAAATAGCAGAACAGTAACAACGCCTTACTATAAGATCGTCAGTATCCACAATATGTTTGACTTTTTAAAGAATTGTTTCACTTAAAACACAAAATTTGTCAAAAGCTTATAGGAAACCTGTGGGGCCCAAAACTATATCGACAGTTCATCATTCCTCAAATCTCAATTTTTGAGGACTTTTGTAATTCCAGATTCCTTGCTTCCCACCCAGCAAGCTTGTTCCACCATTGGGAACCCCTGCGACAGCACAAACAATACCAGGCACACGGGCTCAGGGACATAGCTCAATAATATCAATAAGTATTTTATTGTTAACTTGGCATTAACAGCCCTGACCTCGTTCTTTTAAGGCTTTTGAAGTAAACATTACTGTTACTATTTACAGATGAGATATTGGTTGTAAAGTAAGTATTACTGTTACTATTTACAGATGAGCTATTAGTTGTGAGGCACTGAGACTGCATAGTTCTCTCCATCAGGAAGCTTCATCACGGTCATTGATAGTTGGACCAATTAGATCAATTTCTACTCCACACCACACTGTAGTCACGCCTCTTTCAGTTGCTGTGGTTCACTGTAGGTTCAGTCCCAGTTTACATGAAATTAAATTACTGTCATCCAAAAATAAGACCTGTGATGAAAGTTGACTCCTACATGGACCTCCCTGAGTTGTAAACTTCTTGACAACACCGGTCCTGTTGCTGTGAAGTGGACCACATAGCAACTTCAGATCACCATGGAAAGAGCTGGAAATAAGTAAATGTGCAGCCTGCCTTTGACCTCATGCCTAGTCTTGATTAGAGGAAGGACAAAACAGAAGGAAACCACACAAGTTTCTTCCTGATGGTGACTCTGTCAAAAGATCCATAGAACCACCCAATCTATAGAGCCACAGCAACAGCTTGAATTAGAAGCTCCGATTACATTTCACTGGATTTCCTTTGTACATTTGATTTCTACATCTCCATAGCCTCCTAGGACTAATGGCCAACACATTGAATGGTAGGCAAAACATTCTTATAAGAAGTTCTAAAGAACAACCATATCCTCCCCACCACGTCCCCAAATAAATGTCCTAATCATTGGTCATACTCTCACTTCCAAAAGACTCAAGTCCTTGTTACAAATAAGTTTCCCTGGGCCTATCGACAGTTGTTCTTTGGGGTGACTAGCTACAAACAGTGCAGGCTTGGGAAGAATCAACAGATGGAAAAAGCTGACTCCCCTCTCCCACCTAGCAGACAATGTCAAGCTCCTGATTCTGTTCTATTCATATGAAATACCCAGCCCTCCACAATGTGACCATTTGTGAAGAAAACACACAGCTTCCGTGCTTGCCCAGAGCAGTCCTAAGGACTCTGTATGAACACAAGCATGTGATAATTCATCCCTAGGGACCAGAGGCTGAGAGGGGATGTTTTCTGAATAAAATAGCAAGGTAAGGTGCTGTCCTCTCCTGAAGGCTCAGTGCTCTATGACTTGACATTTCTCAGTATAATCTCTTGCCTTCTTGATCTGATGGCAGTCCGGAATTGGAGTATGGGCAGAGAACTAGGAGGATTTGGAATCCCTTCCTGTCAGCACTTTAGGGGCCTTTACTTCAATTTCTCTGTGATCTTCCCCTGTGTGTGTCTCACCAAACATGATAAGCAGGAGAGACTTCTTCAAACATCTTTTTTAAAGGAGAAAGAGACAAAGATCAACAGATTGAAAATGGTACATTCTCCAGGACCCGGCTTATAGAAGTATAACGGGGCTCCATAAGCTAAATTAGATTTCTAGGAGCCATGTTTAAAAAATCAAAAGGAAGCAGGGATGTTTATTTGTAATAATATATTTTTACTTAATCTAAAATATCCAAAGCTTCATTTTGAAATGTAATGAATATCTTTAAATTAGATGACATTTTATGATTCACATTATCTTCAAATATCCAATGTGCATTTTAGAACTATAACAAGTCCTGTACAGGATGAACCTCATGGCACCTGTGCTGGGGCAGCCACATGGGAAAAGTGGCTAATGTCCTGGGCAGCATGTACTGCCAGGAGTCAGGGCCTTAGGCACTTGTCTTCTGTGGATCTCAAAAGAGAATCTAGTTCACTTTCCACTTTGAAATTTGTTTTCTGTCAAATTGAATCTCGTTTTAGCAACCTGACCCATTTCCAGCATCTATAGGCTCCTTTGTATTTTCTCTCCATCCCAATGGTATTTGTAAATGTTTCCCAATTACCATAACTATGTTAAGTGGCACCCGAGTCTCAGTCCGGCCTCAGTTCAACATCAACCTGCTCTGAGTCAAATCACCCCTCCTTTTCATTGTTACGTTTTAGTCGTTTCCAATGTGTAAGCTGTGTTCTACTTTCAACGAATTTGCATTTGTTCTATAAGAAAAGTACTATGGACTGCCACAGCCAACAGCACAGTCCATTTTCCCTGTATCTTTCTTTCCAAGGTCTGGGGCTCTGGACTAATCTTAACTCCTTGTGACCCATCTGATAGGAAAGTGAGGTGGGGGTGGGGATCCCCATGAGAAACAGGGGAACAGGTCTTGAACAGTCTTCCTGCTCACGATTAATCTGAGACTTTGGTGAGAGGAAAGCTCACTTCATTCTCTCTCCAATCTGTGCTCATGAGATAAAACTACTCACAGGTAAAGAGATGGAAAAAGGACAAAGTCTTTTTAGATCCAGCCTAAAATCCGTCCAACATAAATAAACATCCCTACTCCAGCATGAAGAGATCTGGGAGGAAGGACAAATATATTCTTATTTTTTAAATTCTTTGTTGTTCACATATGTGTTCACCCCGTTTTGTTTTCAGAAGAAAAAAAAAGTCCTTATTTTTAAAAATGAGACTTTCCTTTTGGTGGCAAGAAGTCTTCATTTTCAGAGGCCCAGTGGCAGATGGATCTGAAAGAGACAGGTCAGGCTTGGCCCAGGTGCCAGGACTTGGCTCCCCAGGTGGACAAGGATTTCCTGATGGCTTCCCAAGACCGTAGTGTGAGGGGCCTGGAGTCCTCTGAATCAGAAATCCTAGTAGACTCTGAGGTCAGCAGACTTGAAATATCTAGTTAAGGAAGAAAGCCCGACATTCACTGGACCTTTGGTGTCAGGGCTTTCTTATAGGACTTCAACCTACACTACCTTGAGTTCATTCAAGTTCCTAGGAAAATGCTCCTCCCACCAGACCAGCCTCGTTAATCCCTATGTTCTCTGAGGAGACTTCACCACACCCTGATGGGCATGTTTCCCTAAGAGGCCCAACCATGAATCCTTATCTCCTAGTAGGTCTTATTATAAATGTTGCCCCACTCAAGGTTATTGTCCTTGAATCCCACCTAAAGACCAGTACTTGGCCTCATTCACAAATACATATCTTAAATGAGTGAATGTTGGTAAAAATAACAATGAGAAATAAGGCCAGTGGTCATTCTTATCATCTGCCTCAGCACCTGGGTTATTGTGAGGAATGTATTTCTCAAACCCACAGAGGAGAGAAAGAGAGAGAAAGAGAGAGGGAGAGAGAGGGAGAGAGAGAGGGAGAGAGAGGGAGAGAGAGGGAGAGAGAGAGGGAGAGAAAGAAGAGAAGAGAAGAGAAGAGAAGAGAAGAGAAGAGAAGAGAAGA